ATATATATTACTCAACTTAGTGGAGCCAGTTGACATGACTTTGTTGAGTAAATTCAACACTTCATTTTTTAGAGCAGAAACATCTCGTTTCATGATGAGTTTGAACAGATTTAATTTTGTAACAAGTAACTAAGTGCTACATTTTAAAGTAAAGAAGTAAAAGTATCATTTTTAGCTTTAAAATGTAACAAAATAACAGTAAAAGTAGCTATTTTAAAAAGTCTTTGGTGAAATTACAAATCCTCAACAAACTACTTAAGTACTGTAACAAAGTAAATGTATTTAGTTACTACAAACCTCTGGTTTTTACAGGTGAAACTAGGGGCTCAGTGTCTTTTCTAAGGACACTTTGGCATGTGGTGACAGAATTGAACCACCAACTCTCTAGTTTGTTGTCAAATGTGCTTCCTTCCTGAACCACAGCTAAAAAAAAACACAAGATGTAGTTGATCAGAATTAGAGAATGATTGGGCCTTTGGTAGTGGTACATCATAAGATCTACAGTACATGAAAGTTACAAAAAATGGCAAATACCTAAATAAAAAAATAAGAAAATCCCACATCAATCACAGTAGGGTTTGGGCAAAATGAGTGCAAATACTCAGCCTTATTTGTAGCTCTGTGATACTTTTCAGTAGAAATGTAACAAACAAATTTCAATCCTAAAGAAGCTAAAACCAACCATCAAAATCAACCAGTACCAAGTAAAAACATGTTTTTACAGATCAATACTTCATCTGCTGCTTCAGCTTTCATTCATTTTATTTCAGTGTTTTATCTCTTCTATAACCATGTATTTTGTTTTCTTTTTGTTCCAGGTGGAGCTCCCAGAACATACAAGGAGCCCGTCATCCTGTCCGGGCCCCAGAACCTAACCATCACTGTCCATCAGACGGCCATCTTGGAGTGCATTGCCACGGGGAACCCCAGACCCATTGTGTCCTGGAGCAGGCTGGGTACATCAGAGTGTCTCTTTAGAGTCTGTTCATGTTTCCACACTCACCTCACACTTTGTGTGTCTGTTCGTGCTGCAGATGGACGCTCCATCGGCGTGGAGGGGATCCAGGTCCTGGGCACTGGGAACCTGATGATCTCAGACGTTTCCCTGCAGCACTCGGGCGTGTACGTGTGCGCCGCCAATCGGCCCGGCACCAGGATGAGACGTACTGCACTCGGGAGGCTTGTGGTACAAGGTGAGGCCGTTAGCATTTAACCTATAACCTCATGGTTTACAGTATTTCAGAGTAAACCTGGGATTTATGTCTGTGAAAACATCTTCTTTTCCAGTTTGTCATATCACAACCACAAACTTTACAGTATTTTACTGGAGTTGTATGTTAGATCAAGTTCAATTTCAAGTTCAAGTTTATTTATGTAGCGCCAAGTCACAACATACGTTGTCTCAGGGCACTGTACATGAAAAGAATAATCTAAAGAAGAAACCAGCAGATTGTGTTGAATCACTTCATCACAGTCTCCCATCCTGAGCAAACAGTGGAGAGGAAAAACTCCCTGCTAATCAGGAAGAAACCTCCAGCAGAACCAGGCTCAGGACAGGAGACCATCTGCCTCGACCGGCTGGTTGGAGGACAGGAAAGAGACACAGACAAACACAGAAGAACTGGTCCAGGACTGGTCCAGGTGCACCTTCTTCTGGAAGACAAAGAAAAAGCATGATAGAAATAATTACAATAAACATGTAGAGAAGAGAGACTAAAGACAACAGCAGTTTGTGCTCCAGCAGTCTAAGTCTATAGCAGCAGAAATGAAGAATAATTCAGGAAACCTAAGTCTAACTATAGGATTTATCAAAAAGGAAAGTCTTCAGTCTAATCTTAAAAGTAGACAGAGTGTCAGCCTCACGGACAGAAACTGGAAGTTGGTTCCACAAGAGAGGAGCTTGATAACTGAAAGCTCTGCCTCCCATTCTACTTTTAGAAACTCCAGGAACCACAAGTAAACCTGCAGTCTGAGAGTGAAGTGCTCTGTTAGGAAAGTATGGAACAACACAAAGTAGCACACAATTATTGATTTAAGGAAACAGTTTACAAGTGGTTTTCACAAATATGAACAGAAACTCTGATACCCTGAAGTAACATCCAGATCAACCAGCTGCTTTCAGAAGTCCCATAAATATAAAATATAATCCATCTGTGTGTAAATCCCTCTGAGCATACACACAGCTGTTGTGTGGAGGTTTGTTACAAAGGCATCATGAAGACCAAGGAACACATCAGACAGGTCAGGGGTAAAGTTGTTGAAGTTTAAACACAAGAAGAGAAGTGCAGTTTGGCACAAGTCATGTAGGAACACTGCAAACATTGATCAGATCAGCACAAAACTGAGCTCTTTGGACTAAATGCAAAACAGTGAGTGGCAGAAAACTAACACAGAACACACCTGCTGTTAAGCACAGAGGTGGCAGCATCATGCTGTGGGGAGGCTTTGCTGCAACAGGGAAGCTGCTCAGAGTTGATGGGAGAAAGGATGGAGATGAACACGGGACAGTCCTGGAAGAAAAACTGTAAAATACCTAAGAGTGGGACAAAAGATCTCAATCAAGGAGGACAGCAACCTAAAACATCCAGTGGAGCAGGTCACAGCATAATCAGGTTAAAACGACTCAAAGTCCAGACCTGATTCCAGCTGAGAATCTGTGGCAGAAACTCTCCATCCTGTCTGATTCAGCTGCTTTACAAAGAACGATAAAATAATCAATAAAAACCAGTAGAAACAACCAACCAAAGACTTGACTCAGGGAGGTTGATCACAAAAACACACCACTTTGAAGTGGATTTTAATTGCAGAACAATATTGTAAATAAATACATTTTACTGTCCACACATTTGTGTCAACCTTTCACATCAAATCTAAGTATCTTTTTTCATTTGCAATTGAAACATGACAAAATGTTGACATTTTCACGAGCTTCATAGTGGTATTTAATTTAAAAGAATAGAGATTTGTCCGTTTCTTCGTCTTCTTTTGGAAACTGAGCCCAGACGTTGCAGAAGTATTTGTCTCCTGACCATTAGGTCTTTGATGGGTCCTGTGAGGACGTGTCATAATAAGGTGGGCTTGTGTTGAAGGGAAGGACAGGGTCACCAACAAGGTTCGAAGCGTTCCTTTCACCTTTGGCCTTGGCTGTTATTGGCAGGGGGAGGGAAGCCCCTGACTGTGGGCTGTGACGCCTGCTGTGCAGGTGGGGGGCTGGCTGCGGACTCATCCATCACCCCACATATGTCCACACCCACTCTCATTAGGTGGGTTTTAATTGGCTGTTTTGTGTCCAACCAGAGGGACACGCTCAGGAGGAAGAGCAAAAATATCTTATAAATTCTCTGTTTTGTTTCTTCCTTCTGTGTTGGAACATTTAATTTAGTTTTTTAACTAAGATCTTCTTTTGTTGATAAATGAGAAAGCTGTTTTTGGTCAAATTTTGAAAACGTTCTGCACAATCTTCAATATCTGTAACACTGGTCCAGTTAGGGTTTATGTGTTGGTTGGTTTTGATTAGCTGTGTCAGCCATCTTGAACTGGGTTGGCTCCAAAATATAAAGACTTGTAGACGTGCATCTAATGATCACTTTCTGAGAGTTTCATTAAAGTCTATCCAGTGGTTCATGAGATATTTTGCTAAAAGACAAACAGGGTTGACTCCAGCAGTTATTCTTAATCCTTTAAGCAAAGATATCAGGAAAATGAGTACTTGGAGTATGTGTTGTGAATGACTCTTGGCTACAACTGTATAATATAATTTTAGCACAATCCATCAAATTAATGTAAGAAATGAAAATTTGTGTTTTCCAAGAAGAGTTAGCTTTGACGGCCATCTTGAATTGGATTTGCTCCAAGCATTAATCAGCTGTAGAGGTACATCTGGTAATTAATTTCTGCAAGCTTTGTTGAAATGTGTTCAGTGGTTCATGAAATATTTTGCTAACAGACAGACAATGTGTTCGATTCACCCTAATTTTCCATATTGATTGATTGTTAACATTAGACAGTTCTCCAATATAATCTCCCAAAATAACTGAAGCATGTTCTCTCATATTTCTTTAAAAAAATCCAAAATAAATGTAATTATATATACATATATATATATATA